TATAGACATTTTAACAGTGCTGATTATGCCAATCCCATGATATGTTTCTCCATTTGTTACATCTCTGCAATTTCTTCCTTAGTATTTCATAGTCCTCTCTGTAGACGTCTACCTCCTTGGTTAAGACTATTCCGGAGGGTGATTTATTCTTGCTGCTATACGTGAAAGTACTGGAGTTTTAGTTGATTCTCACTGACTGTGGTGTGGTATATTAGGAAGAAAATATCTATGATTGTGTACACTGTTTAAAACCTGGGAACTGCTGAAGTATCGGAATTCCAGGAGTGTCCTGCAAATCTGGTTGGATTTTCAAGATGAAGAGTCATATTGTTACGAAAAATCAATGAGTGTGCTCTCTTCCCCATGTGGATATCCTGACCTGCGTCTGGCTTGTAGCCAGCTCAAGAACTTTCAGCCACTAGTAATAAAGTGAGGAGCAGGTGGAATCCCTGTCTGGTTCCATTCTAAGTAGAAGCTCATTCGCGCATCAGTTTGATTAGTGTTGGCTGTGGTATGCTAATGTCTTAAATTGTTGAGTATGATCCATTATGTATTTTTAATAGTCATATCAAAAATGTGCTTATGTAATAGCTTCTGAGCTATGTTGATGAGTATCACTATACAATAGTGTTTCCTAATTGTATTCACATAGTAATTGTGTTATGTTGAGCATCCTTACCTCTCTGATGAGCGACGTTGGTGGATGGATTTTTTAGATTACAGCTGAATCAGTGTCTGCTAGGCTATTATTGAGACATGCTTCGCAGATATATTCAGATATAGTATGATATCTATCTTATTTTCTTTTTGTATTCTTTCGCAAATCAAGATCGATATTGAGCTTTAAACTATTGGGCGAGCATCTTACCATCTCAATGTTACAGAATAATTCTTCCAGTATAGCACCAGTATCTGTAGTCTGTAAATGGTCGAAATCCATCTGGTCAGATTTTTTGTGTTGAAAATTATTGCTGCTTCAAATCATACTGGTACGTTATTCAGGAGTCGATTTCCTGATTATACTTATGAGTTATGTTACAGATTTCCAGTTCCAGTATTTCAAGTTTATGCACAAATATTATAGTATTCAGAGGATGATGCTTTGATTCTTTATGGTAATCGCTCTATATCCTCTTACATCTGACTGGAGCTTCACTGTGTACTCTCATTAGATTATTATCCACTAACTTAGAGCAACATTTAGATGGAAAGCTTCATATAATCACACCTCACCCTAACAAAAAACACAAAGATTGTGTTGTTTGTTTTAACAGAAAAATCAAAGGAGGAAGAAGAGAGACGATTGATATTTGTAAAACATGTGAATGTAAACCAGTTCTTCATGTGGGTGAATGTTTCAAAAAATATCACACCATGAAAAATTATAGAGATTAAAATTACTCTTTGAATGTATCAATAATTTGAAATATAAAAAAATCAAAATAAGTTTGTATGAAAAGAAACTCCAGTTTTTTATTCTACTGTCGCACTTTGTAAAATCTGGGGTGTTTAAAAAATTAAATCCGTGGGGGGGAGATGGGTATATACAACCACAATGAGTAAGATGTACAACATTTGGGGGATGAACACGCTTGAAGCTCTTACTCGAGGGAGGAGGGGGGCATGGGCAATATATGTAACCTCAACACTTGTACGCCCATAATACGCTAAAATAAAAAATAAATAAATAAAATAAAAAATTAAATCCTGAGTAGAATAAAGGAATCGAGAAAAAAGCAAGCAAGTACAAAGGGTTAAAATACCAACATCATTTTTTGCAGATCTAGAAAAAATAATTCTACACTTTATATGAAACCAGCAAAGACCCTGAATAGCCAAAGCAACCTTAAGCAAAAATAGCAAATCAGGAGGCATCACTTTACCAGACTTCAAGCTATACTACAAGGCTATGGTAACCAAAACAGAATAGTACTGGCATAAGAACAGAGTCATAGACCAATGAATCAGAACAGAGAACCCAGATATAAAATCCTCCTCATATTGCCATGCAGTCTTTGACAAAGCAGACAAAAACATACACTGTGGAAAAGAATCCCTATTTAGTCAATGGTGTTGGAAGAATCGGATAGCCACATATAGAATGCTGAAAGAGGATCTGCACCTCTTACCACACTCAAAAATCAATTCACAATGGATAAACAGACTTAAACCTCAAGGCATTAAACTATAAGAATTCAAGAAGAAAATGCTGGGAAAAAATCTTCTAGATATCAGCCTAGGCAAAGAATTTCTGAAGAAGACCCCAATGCAATTCATACCAACAACAAAAATAAATAAATGGGACCTGATTAAATTAAAAGGCTTCACACAGCAAGGAAACAATCAACAGAGCAAATATACAACCTACAGAATAGAAGAAAATATTTGCATGTTATACATCTAATAAAGGGCTAATAATGAGAATCTACAAAGAACTCAACCAGGAAGAAAAAAATCAACCCTATTAAAAAGTTAGCAAAAGACACAAACAGAAACTTTTCAAAAGAAGATAAGACTAATGGCCAATAAACATATGAAAAAAAAATGTTCAACATCTCTAATCATCAGGGAAATGCACATCAAAACCACAATGAGTTAGTGCCTAAGTCCAATGAGAATGGCTTTTATCAAAAAGTCCCAAAACAACAGATGGCTGGTGTGGGTGCATAGACAAAGGAACACTTACACACTGCTGGTGGGACTGCACACTGGTACAACCTCTATGGAAAGTAGTATGGAGATACCTCAAAAGTAGGACTACCATTTAATCCATAATTCTCATCATTGGGTATTTACCCAAAGGAAAAACAAGTCATTTTAGACACTTGAACTTGAATGTTTATTGCAGCACAGTTGACATTTGCAAAGATGTGGAATTAACCCAAGTGCCCATCAATACATGAGTGGATTAATAACGTGTGGTATATGTATACCATGGAGTACCACTCAGCCAGGAATAAAAAGTGAACTAATACTTTTTGTAACAATCTGGATAGCACTGGAGATCATTCTTCTAAGTGAAGTATCACAAGAATGAAAAAGCAAATACCACAGGTACGGACTATTAAATTAGAACTAATTATTATTTTTTTTTTTTTTGGGACAGAGTCTGACTATGTTGCCCCACCTAGAGTGCTATGGCATCACCTAGCTCACAGCAACCTCAAACTCCTGGGCTCAAGTGATCCTACTGCCTCAGCCTCCTGAGTAGCTGGGACTACAGGCATGTGCCACCATGCCCGGCTAATTTTTCCTATTTTGGGTGGAGACGGAGTCTCACTCTTGCTCAGGCTGGTCTCAAAGTCCTGAACTCAAACGATCCTCCCACCTTGGCCCCCAGAGTTCTAGGATTACAGGTGTAAGCCACCGCACCCAACCACAATTGGAATAAATTGATCAATACTCATGTGCACATATAGAAGTAAAACTCAAAAGAAATCAAACAGATAGGAGGGCAAGGGGGAAAGGTAAATTCACACCTAACGGGTGCAATACACACTATGTAGGTTATGGGCATAATTATAACTTTGACTCAAATGGTACAAAAGCAATTTATGTAACCAAAATGTACCCCCAAAATATTCTGAAATTGTTTTAAAAAAGGAACAAAATATAATGGTGCTTCTTTACAAATATGCTTGCATTTTTGCCTTAGAGCCATATTGTTCAACTTTGGCTTAGAGCTACCAATATGTACAGAAACATGGTTTAAAAACAGAGAGAGAGAGAGACAGAGAGAGAGGGACAGTGGGGTGAGATAGAAATGTCTCCAGTGAGCTCTGGTCAGGGCTTAGCTTTAAGATGATTTGTATAATATTCTCAGCATAGTGCCTATGGGAAAGATAGAGATTATATCAGTCAACTACAATCTTTATGGATAAAACATTTTTGCAAACCTAAAGTGTTGTAGAACTGTTGCATGTTACATGTTATATAAGTTTACTTTTGAGAGCAAAACCTTCAAATGTTTTTTTTTTAACTTAAAAAGATCTTTACGGGAACTTCTGTAATCTTAAAAATTATTTTCAGGTCTGCCCTTTAGTATTAGCATGATTTTGTATATAAAGAGATTAAGTGTGAATACTTGCTTTTGGAGGTATAAATAAAGGCAGCACTTTAATTAATAAAAAAATGTTTTTAAATGTTAGCTCTGTTAATCTTAGTCCTTCAGCTGTGTTTTACAGCTGCAAATACACATCTGCTGCAGACCAAAAGGTATGTGTACCTAAGGAGATGAACCACGGAGAAAACTCACAAGCATACAAACACACCATTGTTTTTCTTGACAGATTAAAATTTAATTCTCTCCCCACTCTGTGCTTCTCTTAGTCTTCCTCATTCTCCTCTTGTTGCATTATTGCAGGGCTCATTGGGACAGTACTTTTCTCTATCAAAAAAAGGAGAGGCATGATACATTATTCTTGAAATGGATGATAGTGTTTACCCAGGTGTTTGCTTTATAATTATTTGCTAAACTGAACATTATGTTTTATATTTTTTTCTATATGCACATTCATACGTGTACATAAAGGAGGTGAAATTTGCATATGAGAATGTGATGGAATAGGATGGAACAGACCAAATTTAAATCTAGGTCTACTTGAGCAAATTGAAAGGATTGTATGAGCAATAAACCCTGATTGTTCCAGCTACTCCAGATTGACTACCTCTCTGTACAGATTGAGTGGGTAGAGTAGCAAATTACAAAACTTTTTTTTTTTTTTTTTGTAACCTGCACCGGAGAACTGTAGGGCAGGATCTTTTTATGCCATATGCCACTTGCTTGATACTAGGCATGAAGCTCTTTTATAGACCTCAGTTAGTAGAGTCACTTTGTACAGGTACCACTGCCCCATCTCTTCCAGCCGTCATTGTTAACATTTATGCCACCTGTGCATGATTTCAGAGCTAGCTGCCCTGGTTTATTAAATACTGTCATAAATGAAGTCAAGAATTACACATCTTTATTACTAACAAGCAGTTTTGTTTTTCTTTTCCAGCGCCGACTGGGAGATGCAGCAAAGAAAGCCATCAGCAAGCTCCAAGTCAGGACAATCAAGAAGGGTGACAAGGTAACAGCCTCTTTTCTTTTGTTGTTGTTTTTTTTTTCCCCCAGCCTCTTTTCTTTTTGATGAGGAGCTCCTAACAGTTCTGATAGCCAGGTGGAAGAGAGAGAAGGATGGGAAAGGGAAATACATACTAATAGTTGTCCTATAAGTGTCTGTTACTTATACTCTTCTTTATTAAATATAATTTAAAGCAGTTTAGAAAATGCATACAATAGGATAATAAAATATCTGGATAGAAAATCAGAGAAATGGAAAAGTAAGTATATAGAAACATAGATAGTACCAGGATAAAATTAGTAAACAAGTGCATTACCTGAAATGTGTAACAGAAATGGGTCTCAAATTTAGGTTGGGGCTTTCTAGCAGCCAGTGCAAAGAAGGAAGAATATTCAAACAATGTTTAATTACCTTATTCCAGCATCCCACAAGATAAAAGCAAAATGGTTGTTCCTGGTATTGTGACTTAAGAAGATTTTTCCATGAATCCTTGCAAGAAAGACAGCATTATGTGCTGAGCTGTGTTCTCCACTTAAATCTACAGTTTAAATGCAGGAATTATGTTAGATCCATGTGAAATATGGTATTTAGAATTCCAGAGTCATTGCAACAGCCTCCCTTACTGTAGAATAATCGAATAAAGCCAAAAGGAGGGTGACAGCAAAGCAGTACAGTCCAGGCTTCCAGGCCCCCCATTCCCCAGGAGAAGGTTCAGAGCAATGGATGACAATACATGGATTTGGGGCTCCTTGGGGCACTGAAAGGAATTCAGAATTCCACATGTACAGCAGGTGTTGTTTCTAGTCTAAATAATTGATTTATCTCACAATTTATGTGCTATTATTAATATTTTTCAACTATGTAAAAACTCTGTTGGGTTTAATAAGATAAAATTCATTTAAAAGCATGACTACATTTAAAGTACATTTTGGTCATTACTTTTCCCCCCCTCAATCAGAGAATAATAAAAGCACAAGGACTGTTACATAATAACATATTGTGAGGTATTAAAAGAGATTTATGTGCTTAAAAAAATTGGAACCACTATTTTATGTTGTATTTATAGTTATTTTATAAACTAGATCCCAGAGAAATAGATAGGTTAAGTATAATTCAGATATTTCTCCATATATTATATTATTTCTCATGCTTGAGAATTTGATATGTCACCTTTAATTATAATTAATAGCAGTATTAGGAATGGTACATTAGGAAAATGGTTCTCCTCGCAGAAGCACTTGCAGTGCAACCTAGAAACAGAAAGTAGAAGTTAGAAGGAATGGAAACTAAGCCAATAGATAGTAAATTATTGATTAAGAAACTGGCACCAGGACTGTCGTTGAAAGCTTCGCTCCAGGCAAGCTCTCTGTGGTTTGTCGTTTGAGTGTTTACACAAGAGTTGAAGCTAAGAAAGTAGGCTCATCTGTGCTTCCTCTGTTGCAGGAGACAGAGCCTGATTTTGACAACTGTGCCGTTTGTATTGAAGGGTACAAGCCCAATGACGTCGTCAGGATCTTGCCCTGCCGGTGAGTCCCTAGGCTGCCCGCTTTGGACTGGGGCGTGCGTGGAGCCCACCTGCTTAAACTCCTGGCTCGGACCTACTGGGCCTCGCCTGCCTCAACATTTCCGTGTGTACATTGCAAACAACCAAAACACTCTTGTTTTTGAATAACCTTTGTCCTTGAAAACACTTTGTCTCATGGGATTAGAAATATTTATTTTTCTGATCCCATTGGCATCAAAGGAAGTTTACTGCCTTGAACTAGAACCTCATGGTACAGAATTTGATGCTGTGGCCTCCAAGTACAAGTTTTCTTGAACAACAGATCTATGACGTTCCAAATATATTCTGGCTGTTACCAGTACTAGTTTAATTAAAATCATAAACTCTTAAAAATATTTTGTGAATGCTCGGGAAGGGCTCAGCAATCAGATTATGGTCAGGAGGAAGCAGGAAGCCAAAAGCAGATTCCATTCCCTATTATTTTTTTACTAACAGAAAGAATGCAACACTGAAATTCTCCCAAAATTCTTGAATCTAGGGGAGGATGTCAGTATATGTAGTTGGGAAAATTCCCCAGGTGATTCTCAGATAGCCCTAATCCAGGGGTCCTCAAACTTTTTAAACAGGGGGACAGTTCACTGTCCCTCAGACCGTTGGAGGGCTGTTGAAGAGTGTGGCGCACATTCCACACGTGCGCACTGTGGGCCTGGGACAAGTCGGCTGCTAAGCAGGACAGGCAGCGGCGACAAAAACACCCGGCAGGCCAGATAAATGTCCTTGGTGGTCTGCATGTGGCCCATGGGCCACAGTTTGAGGACCCCTGCCTCTCCCTAATTGAAATTTACTGTTAAGGTATCTGAATTTTTTTTAAAAAATCATTAAAATTAAATAAATCTAAATAATTTAAATAAAATGTTCTGAAGTCACATAAAAGCCATTCTCCTTAATTGAAAACTCTTTTTAGTGTTTTTGCATGTGTGCAAGGGTCCTAAAAATCAAAATTAAATTATGCCTTGATGAAAGGTTCTTTAGGCCAGGTGTGGTGGTTTACACCTGTAAGTCCAGCACCTTGGGAGGCCAAGGCAGGAGAATCACTTGAGGCCAGGAGTTCACCACCAACCTGGGCAACATAGCTAGACCCCATCTCTACAGAAAAAAAAATGGTGGCATGCACCTATAGTCCCAGCTACTTGGGAGGCTGAGGCAGGAGGATCACTTGAGCCTGAGAATTCAAGGCTGCAATGAGCTAAGATTGCTCCACTGCACTCCAGCTTGGGCAACAGAGCAAAACTCTGTCTTTTAAAAAAAAAAAAGTTCTTAATTTAGAAAGATTGGCTGGCTTTAAAAATTCTTACAGACTCTAAAAGTAAATAAAATAGAGAAAATACACCACAAAGATACGAAACGATCCATTTGTTCAAGAAACAAAATATGCCTTTAGAGAATTGGTTTAACAGTAGTAATCCCCAGAATGACAAAGAAACGACAAAAAAAAAAAGAAGAAGAAGAAGACGACAATGTATTCAAATAGATGCAGAAACTCTGAAGGGGAATAGATCTTAATTGAAATACTCATAGGTCAATTGACCATTAGGCAAATGGGTGTTAGGAATGTACGCCCTGCTGGCCCCAGCCAAAGCCTTCAAGTATGATTCACTTTCCTGTAGTTTGTGGATGCCTGACTATCCCCGAGACAAAATCATACATCAGGAGGTTTGGCAGTTTCCCTCATACGAGGATGCTGTATAGAAATTCATTCTAGACATTATACTTAGTGTTTATTTGGTGACTTCCAGAAATACTGGCAAAGAATGGCAGTCTGTGAACTACAGAATACCTCTCTGGGTAACATCTTTCATCTCTGCAGTATTTTATTAAGGATTTTCCAAAGCCTCATAGTTATAAGCAAGTAAAGTGCTTTCCTTTAATATCCTACTTGGAGATTATTTACACCCTATGAGGGTACTATAATAAAAAAAAAAATTCAAAACCAATTAAAGTTAAATAGCCACTTTCTCCTGGGGATCCAAAGAACTTCACAAATGTAATTTAAGAAAATCTGTTTTTAAAATTATGTACATAGCATTACTGTAGCTCTACAATTCAAAGAATATAAAATAATTTATTCATTTACAGTTATATCATGAATAAATTTCCTAGTACTGCACTTATATAATTGCTGAAGTCAGCATAACATCCAAGCCATAGATATACCACAATTTAATTTTCCATGTCCTTGTTTTAGAACATTTGGCTGATTTCAATTTTTAATTATGACAAATTGCATTAATAGTATTTAGGTTTTCATGATCTTATTCCAGATCTCCCTTTATAGTATATTTTTGAAATAGCAACCAAGAAAAATAACATTTTAGTATTTACCACAAAAAATAAAATTTTAAGAACTTTCATTTTATTTACACCAGTCCTTACTGTAGGCCAGTTTATTTGGCTTCAGATTCCTCCTTTTTTAAATGTTTTATTCTCAGATCATTCCTTGACTTGTTTTGTTTGCTTCTTGCTACTTACTGTCCATCTACTTTTATTTCCTTATTGTGGACCCTGCTTTAAATAAAAAAATACACTGAATATTACCAAACACAGTTATAGTTAATTACTGTTTGATCTTATACTAGTCACACATATCTATGCTTTGAATAGCTCATACATTTTTTCCATACTGATTTTTAAATCATGGTATTTTTATGCCTGTTGCTGGTTTGTGCCAGACGGTTTGCACTAATGGATATTATCAAACAAATGCACTGGCATTTGCTTTTTGCTAGATAATTTTCTCTGGGGTATTATTAAGCCTTTGCTCCTATGAACTTCATAGACTCTCTTTCCCATTATTTCCAGGCTGACTCATCCACAGAATTCTTTGCATCTATCTCCTTGGAGTAAAAGCTGTTTCAAAAAATGTTCCAGTTCATCTCCCCTCTTTCATACTTTTTTCCTTGGCCTCATAACTCCTGACATACTGGGTACATCTCTTCTCTGTCATTTTACTTTAGGATGTCTTTCCAAATCACACAGGTATACTCTTGTACCACAGCTCTTTAAAAATCATTCTGTTGTTTGTCTCTTTCTGAGATCCCTGCACAAATGATGATGAATTATTACATGCCTTCCCCTCTTTATCTGTAGTCATGGTGATTATTAAAGTCAAGTCATGCGCATACACACCTACCATTTCTTCCCCCTCATTCTTTCTTTACCCAGCCCTTCTCCAGCACACAAAGGTGAGACTGCCCACCCCCCGGGGTGAGCCTGGATATGTGCACCTAACGTGACCCACAGCGGCACACAGAGCACCTCAGCGTCAGACAGGTCTGACTTCTGTGGTTTGGATCAGATCCTAATACACCACTAAGGCATTTTCCAAGACACTTTGGTTTTGCTACACCATACAAATGCCAAAGTATGCATTATACTTTATCTTAGGGCTGGTTTTGGGGACTCAGGTTAGTATTTGTGATTATGACTTTTAGCCACTAAAGATACTTTATTGAAGTTTTATTGTTTTCTCCTGTGCAGAGATTAAATTAGGCTCTCTGATTCTTCCATGGCTTTTATCCCATGGCGTCTCTGCTATTCTTTAATGATTATTCATGTGTTTATTTAACTAGTCAATTTCAAATACACACTGTCTCAGAAAGCATATGAATTCCTGGGGCAAGCCAAAAGTCCTTGCTTGCACTTATTTTTAAAGCAAAACGATAGGTGTATCCTTTCCTTATGTGCCTGTTAAAATTCTTTTCCATCTCTATCGCTATAGCATTCACTAATTTGACAGTATGTTTCTATTAATACCCCTTTTCCTTTGATTTTGTAAACTCTTCTCCTCAATGGAGGAAAAAAACTCAAAGCTGCCTAGTAACAAGCAGACCCTGATGATAAACTTTTTAGTAACTAAATTCTTCATTTGGAACAACATTTTGTAGCAACCCTATGCAATGAATGGTGGGAAAGAGGAGAGATGAAAAGCTAAATGGCATGAGCCATGCTCTAAAGGAAATAGTCTGGTGGGAGAGACAGGAATTTAAATAAGTAATCAGGATATAGAGTGGTATGTGCAACAATAATGACAAAAGGTATAAAAAATTTGGAGGAACTAATACCAGGCACAAGGAAGTTAAGAAAGGCTCCACAAAAAAAGTAATGTCTATATTTTCTAACAGTGTTTATTTTTGTCCATTACATCCTCATTCATTATAGAAAACTCCTAAAATGGATAAAATACTTAAATATCTGCCTAACTCCCTCATGCAGGTGTAACCATTGCTAACATTTTTATATATTTCCTTCCATTTCCAATGCCTATTTTTTCAAGTTTGAGATACAGTATCATTTAGTATCCTTCTCTTTTCATTTATATGCAAAGTATTTACTGTAAATAGTATTAGGTTATTTGTGCCTAAATTTGACCATTCTTTGGCCTCTGACACTATAGGCAGGAGCTAGTCTAGCTCTAAGTTGCATAAACCAACCAAAGACCCTGGGATGTTGGTGCTTGTCCCACCTGCTCCTCAAGGGTCAAGGTCTTTCCATGGATCAATCAGAATTCTCCACTGAGCTAGAACAGAAACATCCCCTGGCGCCTTTAGCTTATTTTGTAATAATCCATTGGTGAGCTGTTTGCATTTCCCCATCCTATCCCACTATAGAAGGTGGAGAAAAACAGTTTCTCATATGCATAATAAATGCTCGGATTGGTTATGGAGCCCATGGAGGCAGTGTGTCTTACTGACTTGTTATCGTCAGAGTTGGATAACAAATAAAATCCTCTAAAACTTTGGTTACCATCTTTCGTAAATGCTCCCCAACTTTTAACTTGTTCATAAACAAATTGCAAATTGAGCTTCCCTCATCCAAAAAGCTGAAATCCAAAGTGCTCCAAAACCTGAAACTTTTTGAGCACCGACGTGATACTCAAAACTACTCAAAACGCTCCAGTGAGCATTTGGGATTTCAGATTTTCACATTAGGGATAATGCAGATATTCCAAAATCTGGAAAAAGT